CGGTTGCGTGGCGGCGGGTCCTGAGCGCGGGTTCGGGGAGGTAGGGCCCCGTTCTAACCACCTGCCCCCTTCTCCTGGGCAAGCGCGGGCGTTCCGTGGGCCGGCAGGAGGGAGGGCGCGCCTCGAACTCCCGAGCTCAGCTAGGTGGGGTGCGGGACGTCGCCCCCGAGATCTCTGCGGATTCCGCTCCCACCCCTGGTACCCGAACTGTGGAGATTCTGGGGGCGTGGCGGGAAAAACGGGACCCAGGCCGGAAGTTTGTCCTGAGTGCCGCTTGAGTCTCTTGATGCCTAGCCGAATGCTTTCTGGTTTTTCTCTTAGTCCTTGTGCTCGATCGTCCGCGCGGAGGGCGAACCTGCGGAGATCGTGCCCGGCGTGAGGAGGAGGAGGAGGAGGAAGGGGATGATCCGAACCTGAGAGATCCCGCTTCAGCCTGTACGCAGAAGGTGAGTGTGGGGGTGCTCTGAGCGCCTGCCTGGCTTTGAGAAGACATCGGTCAGTCACTGCCCCTGTGGTCTGCATACCTGGGCCTTGGGGGGACAAGAGTGACGAGACTACCAAGGCCCAGTTTTGGAGAACTTTCTGCTCACCGGAGGCAGAGGTGAGGTTGAGGGGACAGACAAGCTCATCACAGACCAAAGGTGTCCGCTGTGGGAAGGAGGCTGGAGTTGGTCAGTACTGATTCCCTGGAGAAGTAGAATCTAGAATAGCGCTGAGAATGAGGGAAGAGCCTGGGCTTGGGACAAAAGTGAAGAGATGTATGGCCTCTTTGAAGGTTCGTGGGGGGACTCCAGAGGGAGAAGTTGTGGAAGAAAAGGGAGCTGGATCAGAGCTGGGAGTCTCTAGATGGGAAACTGCTGGGTGGAGTTAAACTAGAGGGCAGAAATGAACAAGAAAGCCCTGCTCATCCTTGATCTAAGAGTGCAGGAGAAACCAATCCAGCAACTCTTGGAAGGTCCAGGAATTCCTGGGTCAGGATGAATTGAACAGTAACTTCGTACCAGGTTCCAGGTACTGAGTTTCTGATGATGAATAGAACAGCCCCTGCCTTTAAGGAACTGCCTGCCTAGTGGGAGAGACAGCACAGGATACACCTGTGAAAAGATGACTGCTGGTACAGGTGGGCTCGGCTGGTTGCCAAGTGAGAAGCAGAGCCAGTTTGATTTCTGGTTCTGCCCTGTGTGCTCGGTGGTGAGCACTGAGTTTAAGGGGCTAGAGACAAACTGAAATGAACTTAGAAAAGAGCTGTCAGGACCCTGAGGAGATAAGGTGTGATGTTGAGCTGGCGTGTTTATGGGGGAATGGAGATCTTTAACCTGTAGAAGGGGTCGGGGTGATGGAAGAGGGTTGCCTCTAAATATATGAAAGGCTCCTTTGTGGGAAAGGTTGAGATTTATTCTGTGTGGCTCCTTATATCAAAACAGACTAATGGTTTGAAGCAGTAGAGAGATTCTTTCAGTAGAACTGTCTAAAGATGGAGCGATCTGGTGTGGGCGGTACTGAGATTCCTGTCCAGAGGTTTGTGAGCTGAACACTCTCAGCTAAGAAACTTGACTTCTAGTCTCCCTCTGGGCTCACATTCAGTTGCTTACTAAGTTTTGGTTCTCAAGTCTGTTCTTTTCTTTCCACTCCCTCCAGCAGTGTAGTCGCGTTGCCTTGCGTCATCTTGCAGTAATTTCAATATAGTAACTATAGCAGTTAATATGTACTGCATGTTTACTGCTTGCCAGGTTCTGTGTTAAGCGCTTTAGAGATGCTAACTCATCTAATCCCCTAGACAACCCTTTTAAGGTAGCTGTTGATAAAATCCCCTTTTTATAGATTGGAGAAACTAAGGCACATAGGAGTTAAGCAGCTTGCCCCAGACCACACAGTGAGCAATTGGCAGAGCTGGGGTTCCAACTCAGGCTGTCTGGCTTCAGAGTCACTGTTCTTAACCACTGTTTACTATGTTTTACATGTGTTGTTTTACTTAATCTTCACAACAATCCAAATTTGCAGATAGGAAAACAGACTCAGAGAGGTTGCGTGATTTGCTTAAGGTCACAGCAATATATGGGAGAGCTGGAATTCAAACCCAGGACTGCTGGACACAGAAACTCCCACACTCTGCACTTCATTCCCCCCACATCCAGTTTGCTGCCTCTGTAACTGCCACCACTGTAGTGGCCTCTAACTGGGCTTCTTTCCCAGCCTTTCTGCTTTAAATTGGCAAATTTTTACCCTCGAGTCTGGGGTGGTCCTGGAAATAAGCGAGATTTGGTGTGTATGTACATGGTCAGTCAGGTTTTAAAGCCGAGTCTTCTTAGCTGCAATCGACTTCTCAGAGCATTTTGTGGCCCCAAATAGTGAAGAGCCAGAGTTTACTTTCTAATGCACAGATTTGGTCTTGACACAGTGAGGCATCGACTCTTCTCTGCCCTCAGGACAGGGTCTAAATCCTTAACCTGGTCATTCAAGGTCCCCGGAAGTCAGACTTCCTTTTCCTACTCCCACCTTGTAGTCTCGCCGCTGGTAACATTTGCCTGCCTGTCTCGCCTCCATCTTGGCAGCTTCTCAAGGGCAGGGGCCGTGTTTGCCTTTAATGGCCAGTGCCTGACAGGTGTTGCACAGTGAGCATGTGTTGTAACTCACACTGAATACCATAATGGAATTCAAACCTTGGCAGCTTGCTTGGCCTGGTAACTTTAAAGCTCTCCCCTTTTCTGACCCCCAGTAGTCTAAGGTTCTCTGAGAGTAGGTGCTGCCGAAATGCAGAGAAAGGCTATGGGGGCAGGGGCTGGGCTGGCCTAGAAGGCAGTGAACAGGTAACATGCGGGTCATTCAGAAGGTGTCAGCATTCTAACCTGGCTCTTGCAGGGCAGCCCCTGGGTGGGGTGAAGCTCCCCTGACTTTACTCCTGTCCCCACCCTGTTGTGGGCCACGGGCTGCAGGATGAACTGTCGCTCAGAGGTGCTGGAGGTGTCGGTGGAGGGGCGGCAGGTGGAGGAGGCCATGTTGGCTGTGCTGCACACGGTGCTCCTTCACCGCAGCACGGGCAAGTTTCACTACAAGAAGGAGGGCACCTATTCCATCGGCACCGTGGGCACCCAGGATGTGGACTGTGACTTCATTGATTTCACCTATGTGCGTGTCTCCTCTGAGGAGCTGGACCGTGCCCTGCGCAAGGTTGTTGGCGAATTCAAGGTAGGGTGTGGCACAGTCCTGTTAGGACTTGAGGGAAGCATCCTTACTCTCTGGGTTGGTTCTACATAACTGAGGTGGAAAGGGTTCTGCCTGCCCTAGGCGGAGGAGTGTGAGGTGGGGGGAATGTGGGCAGAATTATTGGACCAGATGATCCCATTTGCTTCTCAGATGAGAAGAGGGAGAAGCAGCCATCTCTGATCTGTCCTTTCTCTCCCTTCCTTCTTCTGTTCCTTGGCTTCCTTCTTTCTAATCAAGGATCATTGGGCTTTATAGTCCCAACAGTTTTTCTTTAGAGACTGTAAGTTTAGTTTGTCATTGAGGGAACAAAGTGGAAGGGTTATGCTTAATTGGCAGCAGACAAGGCAAATAGGATTTACCTGGAGAATAGGAGATGTTGGAGTACATTTTGAAGGATGGGGGCCAAAGGAGTGGGGCTGTGGAAGGAGCAGGAATGCCCTTCATGTAAAGGTGAAAAGAAAGGATTTTGAAATCAGACAAATAGGACAAATAGTCCTTGATAGGACTTGGAAGGGCCATTCCCTGGCTTTCTTGATTTGTGGTTGCCAGTCTCTGGTTAGCCTCTGGATTCAAACCCTGGCACAGCCATTCACTGGCCCATGACTTTTGGCAAGACAGCTTGACTCTGAGCTTCATTTTGCCTCAATATTTCTGCCTCCCAGAGTTGTTGAGAGGAGTGAGTGGGATTGTGTATGTAAAGTGCCTGGCCCAGAATAAGTGCTTAAAAAACATCAGTTCTGAACAAAGCTGGGGGAGTTGGGCAAGGAGACAGATTTTGTTGTTTTGCTTGAACCACTCAATTTTAAGCAGGCAGTTTGCTGTCACATCACCCAAATCCTTTACCTCCTCTGTTTCTCATTCTCTGCCCTTCCTAAAGGACTAATACAGCTAGGACAGCGTAACTCCTTGGGGCATGGGAAGCAGGTGCTCACAGGATGAGAACTCCTGTCTTAGCCTGTCCATCTGCTACCTCTTCTTCCCCAGGATGCACTGCGCAACTCAGGTGGCGATGGACTGGGGCAGATGTCTTTGGAGTTCTACCAGAAGAAGAAGTCTCGCTGGCCTTTCTCAGACGAGTGCATCCCCTGGGAAGTGTGGACAGTCAAGGTGCATGTGGTAGCCCTGGCCACGGAGCAGGAGCGGCAGATCTGCCGGGAGAAGGTGGGTGAGAAGCTCTGCGAGAAGATAATCAACATCGTGGAGGTGATGAATCGGCACGAGTACTTGCCCAAGATGCCCACGCAGTCGGAGGTGGACAACGTGTTTGACACAGGCTTGCGGGACGTGCAGCCCTACCTCTACAAGATCTCCTTCCAAATCACTGATGCCCTGGGCACCTCAGTCACCACCACCATGCGCAGGCTCATCAAAGACACCCTTGCTCTCTAAGCTGTGCTGGGTGCCTTGAGTGCTCCTTGATGGGTTGCACACCTTGGCTTCTGGGGATTGTACTGTTAGGCCCTTGGGGCTCTGGAGCCTTTTCTGGGTCCTTGATAGGACTTGGAAGGGCCATCCCCTGGCTTTCTTGATTTGTGGTTGCCAGTCTCTGGTTAGCCTCGTAACCTTCACTGACAGTCCAGTCAGGCCAATACTATCTTACCACCCCACTGGTGGGTCCCGCTTCCTTCTCCACTGTACAGAAACACCATCACTAGGATGATGAATAAAGTTGAAAATATGAATTTGGGCTGAGCCATCTCTCCCTTGCCTTGTGTTCGGCCCTGAAACATTAACACTTTCTGGCAGACTTGCGGGGACACAGGTGTGTGTTGAGGGTATTATTCCAAGATGAGGGGAATGGGTTAGGATTACAGATAGATTAAAGCCTGACTGAGCTCCTGCTCTAACCAGTCTGGGGTACAGCTGGAGGTCCCTGAAGGCCTGCTCACAGTGCAGGCAGCTGTGCTGGATGTGCTGTCACTGCTTGTACTCTGCGGGGTCCTGTTCCTGGGAGGCAGCCTCCTCTTCCTCCATGCTCAGGGTCTAACTGCCCTGTTTGCCCACCTATTTTGTACTTTGTTGGACATTCACATAATATTATCCACCCAGGTGTGACCTGGTTAGTCCTTTGAATGAGGACCCAGGTCAGGATCTATTGCTTTTATTTATTTAAAAAAAAAAAAAATTTATTGATTGATTTTAGAGCGAGAGGAAGGGAGAGGGAGAGAGTGAGAGAGAGACATCAATTTGTTGTTCACTTATTTATGCATTCATTGGTTGATCCTTTATGTGCCCTGACCAGGGATTGAACTCTAAACCTTGTGTCAGGACGATGCTTTAACCAAGTGAGCTACCCAGCCAGGAGGCTCTATTGCTTTTAGATATGACAGTGCTGTTTCTCCTCCCTTCCTAAGGAAGCTGTAACATTCCTGGCCTTTATGTGTTCTTGCTTAATGATGGCTCCGAAGAATATCTTCATAGATCACACAGGCCCAACATATACCAGAGAGCTCATTTGATTTGGGGTTTATCTCTGGAGAGAGATGGGCCAGCTTGAGATTGGTGTCTGGTGACACTTCTTCCAGGTTGGGCTGGCCCTGGCTTGTAGTTAGGACATTGCTTCGGTAACTCGCATTCATTTCAACACAAGCACATTCAAAGTCAGTGAACTCCATTGTGTGCTTTTTATTGATTTCATATTTTACAATGATTTTTTGTTACATCTGGGCCAGTTTTAACAGACCAAATGAACTGTGTGTAGGGAGCGGTGTCAAGGGAGAAATGGTTGGGGTGGGGGAGGGTCTTGCCCCTGGTTCTGGAGCAGGTAGGTAGTAGCCAGGAATGCCAGGAAGTGTTTGCACATTTTTCTCATTCCAAACTGTTTTTGGCTATGTGATATTTCATGCCAGGTTTTTGATGTCCTATGCTTGATCTCTGGGGAATTGGAGAACTTGGGGGTTTGGAGATGGGGCAGGCCCATTCCCAGCAAGTCCTTAATGGTGTGTGATCCCTACTTGGCCTGCTGTAGTCTGGGGGACCTTTTCCTCCTAGCTGGCCATCAGTTAATCTCTTCTGAAGGGTTGGATGACACAGGTGTTTACTAGCAGTGACCTTTGTTTTAAAGAGCTCAAGGTTGCTACAGGGTTTCTCAGGAGACCTGTGCAGGAGGGTCTTCCCTCTATCCCAGCTTCTCCAGACTTTCTCCTTTTCTGCAGCCAGACTCTGCTCCTCTCCCACGCTAGCTTGGCTGTGAGATACCCAGCTGGCAGCAAGCTCCCATTGGTGGACAGGACAGTAACATCTCCATCCCTCTTGGCATTGTGATTTCCCCAGGTAGGGGACTGATTTACTCAAGGTCAGAGCCCAAGCTTTGGTGACTAAAATCTGCTTTCCCATTGGTCTGTAACTCTTTCTGCCCTCTGGGGCCTGAACAAAGGAATGGGGGTATGCCTTAAAGTCCCCGTGTCCTCCCTCCCTGCGTGGGGCCAAGGAGGCACTGACCTGCTTGTCAAGCCCTAGGAGGCTCCCAAAGGGGAGGAAGAATTGGCATCTCTCAGGTCTTAGAGGCCACTCATTTATCTCCTGTTCCAGTGGCCACCTGGGCCATCTAGCTGTACTGAGCTTTGGCCCAGGGGCAGAAAACCCAGAAATAGGGATGGCCCCTGCTGGTTTCCTGCTCAGCTGGCAGCACCCCAGCCAGCACCTGGGATGGGCTCTGGAAGAGCTTTTCCTTTGCCAAGGGGGAGGGAGAGCCTTGGGGACAGGATTCCTGGATTTTGCTTGTTGGGTGCATAGGCCAGATTCTCATGTCTATGTGTGTGGGCCTTGGGGACAAGAAGATGTGCTCCTGGCCTTGAAGCTGGGCCATAGTCCACACTGCAGGAGCCCTTTGTCTAGGAAGCGCCAGAGCACTCTGCGCAAGGGGTGGGGGCTTAGGGCTACTGGGATCCGCCCCTTAGGTCCCTCCCAGAGGCAGTCATGGTCAGCCTGCCAGTCCCGGCTCTCGCACATCTGAGGGTCCTGCGCACATCTGGGCAGCTGGCGCCGAAGCATGAATGCTTCTCAGGCGGGCTCCACAGTGGGCTCCGTGGCCAGAACCGCCTGGCTGAGCTGCTGCAACCAGTCTGGGGTGCAGCCGGAGCTCCCTGAAGGGCCGTTCCCTGTGCAGGCAGCTGTGCTGGGTGTGCTGTCACTGCTCGTACTCTGCGGGGTCCTGTTCCTGGGAGGCGGCCTCCTCCTCCGTGCCCAGGGTCTGACTGCTCTGTTGGCCCACGAGCGACAAGCATCCCCTGAGGCAGAGCCTGGCAGCGAGGACTCCTAGGCACCCGGCTGTACTCGGGAGTTGCAATGTCCAGGCAGCCTTTGAACTGCGTGCACAACTGAGAGGGAGCTGCTGTGGTGCTGGTGCCACCAGGAGGTGAGGGCTGCTGCAGAGCTGAGGCTTAGGCTCCTTCCTGGAGCCTGGCGGGCTGCACAGGTGAGCGAGGGGGCAGAGGACGGACAGTCACATCAGCTCCTTAGCACCTCTGGAAGTCCCCAAGATAGGTCCTGTAGCTGCCCCCCTCCCCACCCCATGTGCCAGGATTTGAGGGAAGGGGCTGCTCCTTCCCCTCCCCCATCATCTCTCCTGCAGTAGTGCCCCCACCCAGGTCTTTTTTCTTGAACTGGCAGTCACTGTAACTGGGAGAGGGGGAGGTAGGGCGGATGGAAGAGAAGGTAGTTTGGAGGGGTCACAGTGTACTTTGGAGACTTTCTTCCCCACATCCGCTTTGCTCCAGCCCCAACTCTGCAGTGCCCCAGCACTGCCCATTCCACTGGGTGGTGGAGGAGAGACTGACAGAAACTCAGACAACCTAGGCCTTAGGCTTCTGCGTTCTCGGCTCCTAGAAGCCTGTCTCTAGAGGGGCTTGAGTAAACTGAGTAAGATTTCTCACTGTGACCTCCCTCTTGAGGCAGGGATGGGAGGGCAGAGCCTGGGGCCTGGATGATCCTGGAAGATTGGGAGGTGTGCAGGGGGAAGGGGAGCTCCCCCAGGCCCTGCTCAGGTTGGGGGTGGACAGAGGTGTCCCAGAGCAAGGAGCTTTGTGGTTTGTTTGTGGGGTGGTAGATGGCAAGGTTGCTAACTACTGGC